TTTTGGGAAGATAATTGGATAGACTCTCTCCCTCTTTTGGTAACTTTCCCAGATTTCTATGCTATCTCAACTAAGAGGAATTTTTCTATAGCAAATTGTTGGAACACAGAGGCCTTGACTTGGGACCTTGGCTTAAGGAGGAACCTGTTTGACAGAGAACTTGATAGATGGGCGATGTTCACCGAGAAAATTGAAGGGCTGGTCTTAGGACAAGATAATGATTCCTTGTGTGGGACAGCTGATAGCAAAGGAGTTTTTACAGTGAAATCGGCCTTTATGGCCTAAATGTAGCCACTGCATCTTTTATCTGGAACTTCAGGGTACCAAAGAAAGTCAAAGTGTTCCTCTGGACTCTCTTCTATAGGGGCACAAACACTGCTGAAAACAGAAAAAGTTCAAAGGAAACTACCTCAGTGGACCCTCTCTCCTTCAATGTGCAGAATGTGTTTCAAGAACGTTGAAACGGTGGATCATCTCTTTTTGCATTGTCCTTTTGCAGCTACGGCATGGAACTACTTGGCATCTTATTTAGATTTGGCTCTCAGCTTACCAAGGAAAATAGAGGATTTTATAGAAGAAGGTTTTGGTGGATCTTTGTTAAAAGGTAAATCTTTCATCCTATGGAATTGTGGCACGAGAGCTCTTCTTTGGCTGTTTTGGAAGGAACGGAACAACATAATTTTTGCAGAGAAACAGAGTTCTATTGAAGATTTTTGTGTGAATATTAGGCATACGGCTTCTTGGTGGGCTTCAACCCACAAGAAGGTTTTTTGTAACTACGGTTTTCTTTTGACTCTTCAGAGTTGGAATTCCTTGATTGTATAGTTTCTTGGGGAGGGTCTTCTCGACCCTCTGCCCCTAGGTTGTATGCCTCTTTTTTTTAGGCTCCTCTTCTTTTGGAATGAATCATTGTTTATTATAAAAAAAAATAATAAAATAAAATAAAATTTCATTCATCAAATGCTGTGTTTGAAAAGCAAATTTACATCTATTTATAGTAATTGAAAAGACACAATGAAATGACACAATCCTTGGCCTAAATAGTCCAAATACATCCACCACCTCTTCAAATCCATTCCTGAACCCTTTTAAATGCAAATATATGGATTTGAAAAATACATAATAAATTAAATATGTGGATGAATCTGGATTTTTAGATTCATGAAGTTTCTTGGATGACAAGATGTCTTTTCAAGCTTTAAGGGATGCAACTCTTCACTAAGTGTGAACAACATAGCTTGGAAGTGACCATTCAACCCTTCTTGTAGTCTTTTAGCTCTAACTCTTGTGATTGGACCTTGTGGCATAATGATTGGCTCATGATTGGGTTGACTTTGAGCATAAGCTTCATTTGACCTTACTCCTCTTGTAGGCTTTCCTCGTGCACTCCGTGATCACTAATTTCTATATCAGGAAGTTTGTATCTTTTTAAAAAAACAAAAGCATGGTCTAGGTTTTGGTGCGGTGCTATAACCCAAACTATTGTTTTGGTCATGAACTTTTAAGATTTTTGCTTAAAGCCTTTTTGTGCATACTTGTTCTGTGGTGCCCAAACAACTTTTTAAAATCTTCTTCCCTTGAGTTGATTTGGTTACACAACCCATCATGAAAATAAAATCATCTTTCTTTATGGAAAAATATTTCAGTTTGTTTTCTTTTTTTCTGCGTTAGGATAGTTGTTCATCTAGGTTGATGACAATAATTTTTGAAGCATAAGGATGCATGGGCTACTTTGGAGAAATATTTGGCTCATGGAGGTTAGTAGTTGTAGTGTGGAAAATGAGACTTCTTCATTACATTAGTTGGGGACTTTAGGGGTTCTTAAAGTTAAGTTTGAAGAAGAAAGGAGAAATTATTCCTTCTACATAAGATTGGAATGAGAGCCTTTTATGTGGGTGGAGAAGCTTTAGTGGAGCTTCTTCAATGACTGTTGACCTATAATTTCTTTTGGAAGGTCAATACCAAGAATGAAACTATTTGGGTGTAGAAGTAATTAAGTCAAAATGGTGTGAAGTGCATCAATTATTGGGAAATAATAATTGACTTAGAGCTGTATATATGACTGCTAACGCTACAAATGGTCTGATGAGAGGTATGGAAATATTACGTAACCTACCAATGTTTCTTTCGTTCCTTCATGCCAATCTTGGATCCAAAAAGGCTCTAATACCAAAAACTGTGTAATTACAAAAGCACAGAAAATTTTATTATTCAAAGAAAAAGTTGATTAAAACCTGCAGACTATTATTTATAGGCTGCCACTCATATCTAACTACAGAAATACCACTTATTAATTCTAAAATTATCCTTATCAAAAACAAACTTAATTAGCCTAAAGTAGATTAGTAAATACAATTGAGTAAATCAATTTAACATGACAACCCAAAACCTTACATTTCCTAACATCCAACAATTTTTTATTTGTTGTTGATAAGATCTGACATCCAACATCATCTTCTTATGGATAAAGTTCAAGCTTAAAAAACTTGGAATGGAGTTCTCCAACATCATCCCACTTTTTGGTATTATACCCATGGTAGAAAATCTAGCTTTTCTGGGCTGTACCATTTCAAAATATGCTTTAGAATACCTTTGGAGGAAATCCTTGGTTTATTTATTTATTTTTTATGACATATGTTTGAATGAGGAAGAGCAAAAAGGATGGTGGAGAAATTATGTTTGAGCAAAGGGGGGAGCAAAGAAAACCTGCTATGGGTTATGAAGGGTCCAAACACTAGTGTCCAACTCAATTCATTAGGTTGAAAATCTTCTCTGTCTGTGTCTGTGATAGGTTTGCTATTAGGATAGATCAGGGATATTGTTAGGTTATTGAGGATATATTGGTAATTGGGTTAGGAGGTTTAGTTATAAATAGAGAGAGGGGGAAAAGGTGAAGATAGGCAATTGATAGTATGGTTTAGGCCTGAGTAAGAATACTCAAGAGAGGAGAGGGTCCAAGTACCTCAAATTACTTGGTAGATATTGTAGTTTCTATATCTTTTATATTTCAATATATTGTTAGTGTTTGGTATCAGAGCTGTTTGATTTTGTCCATGGAATTTAAGATGGATGAAGTGTTACGAGAAGGGATGTTGACGATTTTACAAGGAATGGATCTATTGAAGAAACAGTTGATGAAGGAAACGGTGAATGAAGTGGACTCGATGTTCCAATCTATACGAGTTACCATGATTGAGGGTTTCAAAGAAATAAGGGAAGAAATTACAGAAATTAGAAAAGAGATGACAGAGGCAAAGATGGAAAGTAGGAGATTAGCAATAGAATCAAGCGTTTTGATCTTATCAAACAAGCAAAGGATCACGAGAGTGAAACCACAAAGAAAGAGGTATCATCATATGAGGAGCAAAGGCAGTAGGATCAAGAAGTCAGAAAGAATGAATGAATCGAAAAAAAAATAGAGTACGGAAAGAGTAGAAAAGGAACTAGAAGATATGGCTGGGAACTACCAATGAAGAACTCTCGGCTACGATGGAGGAAAGAACGACTCATATTTTGTTGAAATTCGAAGATCAAGCGCGTGAAGTTTGGAAAGATGTCGGACAAGGCGACGGTTGGATTTCTGGAATAAGATCGACAACCATTGTTGATGAAGGTGAAAACACAACAAAAACGGAGGAGACTTCATGAAGAAAAGGGAAAGAAAACGAGAAAAATGGCAGATGGGGACTATTGTCAGTGACAGTTTCAGATGTGGCCGGAGAAGGAGACTTGGTGGAGGCGTCGATGGAAGCTTTGGGAGAGGGCTGTCATGAAGGAAAGTTGGGAGAAACTGCCCTAATCACGTCACCCACGTGAATGGAGAAGATTATGGAAAACAGATGAGCCCAAAATTGAAAGAAAAGAACAAGTGGGCTTAGATTGAGAGGGCTGAAATTTAATTGTGTTACATCCCATTTTCTTTCTGGAGCAGACTTTGAAATTATGGGATTGGGTGGGTTTTGGGTCAGGCTGTCCTCTAGGCCTAACCCGAAAGCTGTCCCGAGTGGGCATCTCCCTACCCATGAGCAGAAAGTAACCCTAGTTGCCGCACTATGCCACCCGTACGACTTCATCCCGCCACCGTCGCTCTCACTGCCAGTGGGTCAC